TCCACTCGTGGGTGTCACTGACAGCATGGATAGTACCTTCATGAGCGTTTGTGCAAAATCCACTTTCTCAACTTTGTGGAACAGCACTGGGCACAACCTAAAAGAGTGAGTAGACAGGACTCTAGAACATTCTGAGACCCAGCTCTGCTCTGTGTGAAAACTCGGCCTGAGCTGCGAGATGTGGCAAGTGACATGGCCACCAGGCAGAGGTCCAGGGAGCCAGGAGGACCAGAGTGACTGACGTGCCAGTGAGGGAGAGGCCGTGCCGGGGACCCTGCCACGCCAGGCGTGTCACGCAGTGAAGCACGTTTCAGTTGAGTAAAAGAGCCGCCAGCAACACCGCCATTAAAAACATGTGGGACACCCCCCACAGTGGCCTTATTCCACCCAGAGGGAGGGCCACTCAAACCAGCCACGGACGACAAACGGGTGCCCTAGACGTGCCCCATCCACATGACACAATATTATCCGAGACATTCCGACAGGCACTTGGACCTGTGCTCAGTCCACACACGGTGCGGGTGCCCCTGGAGACAGATGCCTGGGGACGGAAGGAGCCGGCGGTCCCTGGGGGCGGGGGAGGGGTGGGGACAGAGCTCCCGCGTGGGAGATGGGAAAGTTGTGCGGGCGGGCGGCGGTCGTGGTCCCGGGCGGCGGGGACTCCTGCCCCCGAACTGTGCTCCTACAGAGGTCGAGTGGTGAACCTTCCACTACGTGCACGTTACCACAGCAAAGATGTGTGAGAATACTGAGCTAATCTCTGGATGGGGACCCCGTTCTCAACGTGGAAGACAAAGTGGGAGCCTTGCCAAACAGCCGAGGGACAGGCTGGCTTTGTAAAAACAGCAGACATTGCTCTTTATCAGCCCTGCAGCCACACGCACGGCGTGAGGTGCGTGAGACCAGAGAGGGCAGGGCGGCTCCTCTGTGAGGGAAGGGGTGAGGGTCATCTTGAGCCCGGGAGGCTGCTGGGGGGGGGGGGCGGGGACAGCCCGAGGGGGGGCGTCCAGACACACTCCTTCCAAGGGCACCTGGTCACCACCTCCACACGTGCTCTGGGGGGACCCAGCAGAGTGGCCCAGGGACAGATCCACCATCCAGAGGGCCGGTGAGGCCACAGCCGGGTGTCAGAAGCTGGGGGGGGGGGGGCAATGGCGGCCTCTCTCCTGTGACCTCTGTCCCCTATCCCACTGCACCACCAGCCACGGGACAGACCCCTGCATGGCCCCAGGGACCCCTCAGCATGCCCGCTGGGAGCTGAGTTAGGAGGGAGAGAGGAGACCCGACGACAGGCTGGGCACCGTGTGGGCAGGGACCGGGGGGAACTCCCGATGTCACCCACACCCCAGGCCTCACAGCCCCCGGGACACGGATGTGGGTGGGGGGTGTTGGGCATCTCCTTTCCCCGCGTCCACTCCCCAGCTTCGCCCTGACCCCTGGGGACCACATCACACCTCCCAGCCTGTGCGGCCACGGGGAGCCCAGCGGGGTACAGGGAGCAGGGAGGAGGGGGGTGGGCTCTCCGTCCCAGCTCTCCTGGGAGGCCCAGCTGCCCTGGGCTGAAGGAGGCCCCCTCCTTGTTCTCATAACCCCATCGTCACACCTGTCACCACCCGCCACTGCAGAGTGTCCCTTTATGAAGACTTCTCAAACACCCGGCGGGGCCGGCTGCCTGTTTCCCACGGACCGCCTGGGCCCGGGAAGCGTGGGGGAGTGGGAGCCACAGGGTGGCGGGTCTCCACTGCTCGGCGCTCCGTTTCCTCCAGCGGGGGAACCAGCCATGTGGCCGAGGCCCCTGCCCCTCCCCCCACCCCTGGGCTATGGTCTGGGAGAGGGACTCCGGTATAGGTACAAACATCGGGCAAGGGCTGGGCTGGCAAAGGGCCACGTGTTTGTGTGGGTAGAGCCCCTGCCCCTCCCCCCATCCCGTGCCTGATGGTGCTCCTGGACCAAATGCATAACAGTCCCTGAAGGAGGGAGGGGCAGAGATGGGGACCCCCTCAGACTCCTGGGAAGCCACAGGACCTTTGGGCAAGGCCTCCAACCTGGCCAGAGCCCCCTTTGTTCAACGTCCTTTTATTCATTCAACAAACACGCCTTAGGAGCCAGGATGGCGTTGGCCAGCCCGGACAGAACGGGACAGTGTGCCTGGCTGCAAGGGAGGGGACCCCTGGGGGCCAGGGTGAAGGGGGGCTCACAGACTCAGCTGTCTTTCCGGGCCCTTGCCCCACTCTGCCCTTGAGACCCAAGCTATGCAGGGACCCTGATCAGTGAGCAAAGACCTGACTGCTGTCCTGACACCCCGGGGGCACATCACCGCTCTCTGTGCCCGCACTGTCCTGTGACAAGTCCTTCCTGGCATCTCCCTGTGGTCTGTCCATCCCCTGAGCCAGGACACCCCAGGGGGTGGGCCCTTTCAGACCCCACGTGAGGCACCCCCACATCGCTGCTGCTGGTGGGGCTGACCGGGGTGCGAGCACAGCCCCAGGGCCGACCGGCCTCAGTTTCCCTCTCTGTGGGGATACCTGTCCCACCCCGTGCCCCGCCCTGCTGGGCAAACAGAGCCCTCCTGTCTCCGCGCACCGTCCCGGAGGTGGCCGCGTCCTGGCCCTGCAGCCGGATTTCCTGAGCAAGGTCACTCTGGGAGCCACTGGAGCCCAGCAGCCAATAAAAGGCACCGATGCGTGGGGACAGCCCATAAAGCAGGTCAGCCGCTGGGGCGTGTTTGCTCTGTGCCCCCACCCCTCCCTCGGGGCCCGGGGACGCAGGGTCTGCCAGCAGCGTGGTGACCCGTGGCCCCTGAGGCTGGCCCCCTCCTCATCCACCTACCCCGATCCCACAGAGGCTTGCAGGGGCGTCTGGGTTCTCTCGGCTCCTGCTCCGGGCCTCACCCTCAGCCAAGGCTTCAGGGACCGCCCACACTGGCCAAGCCTAGTTCCCAGGGGCCGGGGGCTGCCTGGAATCTGCAAGGACATCCCATCAGGCCTGGAGCACACACACCTGTGCACTCACACACATGCACACGTGTGCACACATGAATGCTTGCACACCCATGAGCGTGCATGCGCGCACGCACACATGTATGCACCCCACACAGAGGACCCGGTCAGGGAGCTGCTGGTGTCTGTTGTGCACACAGACATACGCGAGGGTGCTCGGGGCCGGCACGGCCCTGGGGGGAGCTCACAATGTCAAATCAATGGGGAAAGATCGATTCGGGCAGAGATTTCCAAGCCATCTGCTCACTCCCCAAAGTCATTCTGAGGAGATGCACTTTGCATCCAAACCCAGGGGAGGCCCGACTGAACGAGCCTCAGTTTTTCCCGGGGCACCCTTCCTCCCCGGGAGGCTGGGCGCTGGGGGCGGGAGTGGGCGCAGCGAGGCTCTGCGGGCCCCACCGTGGAGAGGCTGCCCCAGCCCCCAGGAACCGAGCCTCCACACCCCCAGGGGCTGAGGCCCCAAACGAGCACCCCCCACTCCCCCCTCCCCTTGGGGGGCCCCAGGCGGGCTCTCCCTGCGGCCCCGCTGGTTTGTACTTTCCCTGTTTTCACCTGCGTGTCCGGCTCCCACCTCCCGGGGTGTCTGCCCACCCCCCCCAGCCTCGGCTGACCCGAGAACCCAGATTGGCACCAACTTCGATCGGCTCCAGGGACAATATTTGCTTTGGGAAAGAGTCAAACATTTATTCTCCAATTTATTCAGGAGATCGGTTGTCAAACACAGGCGCCCTCGCCACACTATTGCGTTTCCAGGCCTTGGCCTCTGCCCAGGGTTGGTGCGGGGCCCGGGCTGCACTGCCTGTGGCTGGAGGTCCTGCTCCGTGCACACCCGGGGGGCGTGAGCCGGGGTGACGTCAGGGCGGGCTGTCCAGACTGGGGGGGGTGCGCAGGCCAGGTGAGCACCCACATGCTGGTACTTCTTCTGGCCCCAGAGACGCCCAAGGCCCATGGCGCCCCAGCAGGTCTCGGCTGGCACCTTCCCCGGGACGGCACTGCCGGAGGGGGCGGCGTTCTGGGGGTGGGAGGCTCCCCAGGGGTCTGGCATTTGCTGGCATTTGCAGGCACCCACACAGCGCTGCCTTCCAAGTGGCTGCTATTTGCACTGGTAGCTGCTCCCTCCTCTGCTATCTGGAAATTTCTCCTCTGCTTCTCGCCTCCCCCACCCAGGCCAGAGCCCCTGCCCTTCTCCCGATGCCCTTTGCACAGGGCCCCTCTGGACACCTACGTCCCCCGGACCCAGAAGCCTGGGGGGCCGGCCCTCCTCCCCCAATCCAGCCACTCTGCTTGCCGCTCCCCCATCCCAGTCCCGCCGTGGAGCCCTCGGCCCCCAGCCCGTCCCTCACGGGCCCCCCAACCCATGACTGTGGCCAGCCAGGAAGGGAGATCTGTGGCAGGGTTGCGCAGCCGGGGGTCTCCAGGGCGAGAGCGCTCCACAGTCCCAGCCGTCCCCAGTGTGACCTGGCCCACCCTCCCCGCCCTGATGGCCGCACAGCCGTGTTCCCTCTGCACCTGCCTCCCAGAGTCAGCACGGTCACCGGGCGGTGCCGGGGGCAGAGGCCAGAGCCCAGGCGCTCAGGCGTCTTTGTTTGCACAGACGGACACTTGACCAGGTGACGCAAGGCTGGCGTGAGGAGGCACATGGGACTGCAGGGCAGAGGCGGGGAGAGCAGTCACCCACTCACACAGGTGGTTGCTCCCTGGACCGGCAGGCTGGCATGGGCAGGGGGCAGGGTAAGGTTGAGGTGCCCTGAGCACTGCCTGGGACACCTGGCCTCTCCCCCGGGACCCCCAGCCTCCTGGAGCCCAGCCTCCACGGCGGGAGCAGGCTGGGGGGGCGGCCACGGCAGGACCACCCACTGCCTCGCCCCGCACACCTGGTCCTCGCAGCATGCAGGGCACCCGGGCTGCGGGGAGGGGGCCCCGAATCTTGGGGGAGGGCTCTGCCCAGCAGGAACCCCAGACCAGGCAGGGGGTCCCTGGAGCCCCACCTGCCCGGGACCCTCACAGCTTGCTGGTCTGCATGAGCCCGTTGGCGTTGGAGCTGCGCCCGGGCAGCGTGGCCTCCTGGAGCCGGCCGCCCTTGTCGGGCTGTGGCTCCGTGGCCTCTGCATCCTCGGCCCCGTAGCCCTTGCGGAGGCACAGAACCTTCCGGAAGCTCTGGCGGAAGTTGTCAGAGAGGAAGCCGTAGAGCACGGGGTTGGCGCAGCTGTTGGCGTAAGACAGGATGACCACGAAGAAGTAGGCGCCGGCGGAGGCGGGCTCCTCGGGCAGGACGAAGGCCAGGTTGACGATGTTGATGATGAAGAAGGGCAGCCAGCAGCCCACAAACACCACGACCACCACCACCACCATGCGGGTCACCTTGCGCTCTGAGCGCCGCCGCGTGGCGCCCACGCGCACGCCCGACGCCTTCACCTTGACCACGATGAGCAGGTAGCAGAGGCAGATGACCAGCAGTGGCCCGAAGAAGCCCAGCACAGACGTGTAGATGATGAACACGGCGCCCCACAGCCCCACGGGCTCCGGCCAGCTGAGGTTGCAGGTGTCCCAGCCCTCCTGGATGTCCGCGAACACCACCAGGGGCAGCGACATGAGCAGCGAGAAGGTCCAGACGGCGGCGCTGGCCAGCTTGGCCACCCTGGGGCGGCGCCAGCGGGCGGAGCGGATGGGGTGCACGACGGCCAGGTAGCGGTCCACGCTCATGACGGTCAGGCAGAAGATGCTGGTGAACTGGTTGATGCCGTCCAGCGTCATGACCAGGCGGCACAGGACGGGGCCGAAGGGCCAGTAGGAGACGGCGTTCTGCGTGGCCAGGAAGGGCAGGCCCAGCATGAGCAGCACGTCGGCCACGGCCAGGTTGAGGATGTAGATGTTGGTGACCGTCTTCATCTTGGCGTGGCGCAGCACCACGTAGATGACCAGACCGTTGCCACCCAGCCCCACCACGCACACCAGCAGGTACAGCACAGGCACCACCACGGCGCGGGCCCCCGGCGAGGGCGCCAGCCCCGCCAGCGTCCCGTTCCGGCCGCCGACGCTGGGGGCCGCGGAGGAGGCGTTCCAGCCCAGCGTGGGGGCCGGGAACAGAGGCTCCATCGAGGCCGCTGGGGGCCAGGCGGGGCGAGGGCCGCGTCCTCTCTGCAAAGACAAGGGAGGACGCGGGGTAATCCCGGCCTCGGGCGCCTCCTCCCCGCCCCGGGCCCCGCCTCCCTGCAGCAAACACTATCACTCACGTCCAGCCCGGCCCGGGAGTCACATTAAGCAAATTGTTCGGAAAACAAGACCAGGGAGGAAGTAGCAGGGGACGGCACTGTGTCATCTGTTGACGGCTCAACGGCGTCCAGAGACGGATCATCCCCATGCCCCCACTGCCCTGGGGCGACCCCCTCGGCCTCTGCCCTACCCCCCCCCCCCCCCCCCCCCCCCCCCCCCCCCCCCCCGAGCGGCATCACTGCCGGGTGGAGAAGGACGGGGCAGCAGCCGGGGCAGGCCCAGCCCCTCACCCCAGCCCCTCACCCCAGCCCCTCACCCCCGCCCCTCACCCCCGGCCCCTCACCCCAGCCCCTCACCCCCAACCCCTCACCCCGGCCCCTCACCCCGGCCCCTCACCTCTGGCCCCTCACGCCAGCCCCTCACGCCAGCCCCTCACGCCCATACGATGCTGGCTGGGACTGCATGACCCCGAAGCCGCACTGTAGGTGACCTGCTGAACCGTCAGGAGGGTGCCAGGCCTTCCCTGTGGCCTCAGTCTGCAGAGGCCCCGCCAGTGTCCACCAGGCTCTTGGGACCTCCGCCCCCTCAAGGGTGCCCTGGGGCCCGCAGACCCGCCCGAGAACTTGATGCCCTGGCCCTCAGAGCTGCCGCTGGGCAAGGTGTCCCTGCAGAGGAGACGATGCGGGAGATAGCCTTGGGGCGCAGTGGTCACAGCTGTGAGCGACACACTCTCATCACCTGCACAGCCACGGCCAAGGGCATGTAGCGGAAGCAGGTAGTGAGGTCCGCACGTGCCTGTAAACCAGGGAACACACAGCGCACAGGCCAGGAGGAAACGTCGAGTGTGAGCGGGGGCGGCCCCGGGGAGAGGGGCTGTGCAGGGGCAAGGCTCTGGGTTCCGTGGAGGAAGAGCAGAGGCAAAGAAGGGAAAACATTAACATCCTCAGTTCAAGGTCACTGACACACATATGTCCCTATGCTTGAGAAAGTTCATAAAAACCAAGATGCTCAGGACAAAATAACCGTCTCCACTGATGAGAGGGAGAGAAAGGGGGCACGGACGCTGCGGCCTCGGTGCGCAGGGGGTGGGGGCCTAAGCGTCCCAGGGGACCTAGCCAGGGGCCTGACGGGGCCCTGGAGACCCAGCCGGCTCCATTCAAGCCCAGAGGCCCCCCGAGCCCTGCCTGGCTGGCCCGCAGCGCCCCCAAGTTTCCTCAGAGCAGAGGACCCCCTCAGCGGCAGCCAGTCCTGGACTCTGGCAGACAAATGGCCGCGGGGAGGGGGCCAGCTCAGAAGACAGAAAGGACAAGCGTGTCCGGGACGTTTAAACAAATACGTTCAGGCTCCTCAATAAGGCGCGGGTAAAAATATTATGAAACAAATTTGGCTCCTGTCTAAGAAGCCAAATGAACAAGTGTGTATTTTTGAAAATTCACAACTCTTGGGTGTGAAAAATCATTTGGACTTAAAAAAAAATCCACAAAAGTCAGAATCAACTCGGGTCTGGACACAGCTGAAGAGAGAATCGGAGAAGGGGAGGGGGGCTGAGGGCCCTGGGAGGGGGGCGCGCGGGCAAAGAGGGCACCGGCAGCAGCGGGCGCGGAACTGCGCCCGCGGAGGACGGACCACATGATGTCAGCGTCCGCCTGCAGGGCACCCGGAGGAGGAGAAAACCCCAGAAGGGCACCCCGGGGACGGCGGACCCCAGACCGAGAACTTGGGTCAGGACGCTCGTGGCCAGTGGAGTCAGCATGCAGGGGCCCGGGGAGGACACCGCCACCCTGGGTCCCCTCCGGGTCGAGGTCCCCCAGGAGGGGACAGACACACTTTGGCGGTGTTGGGCTGGATCTGTGGAGCTGGCGCAGAGGCCCTGGAGGCTGCGCGGGGCCTGATGCGAGCTGAGTGACAGTAACTGGGAACGAGGCAAGGCCTGGCCTCCGGGGACAACTGCATCTCCAGACAAAGCTGGGGGTCCCCGGCTGGAAGGGGCGGTCCTGGATTGGGGGGCCCCCACCCCAGGCACCCAGCTGGGAGGACGCCCTTCCCGGGGACACTAGGGCTGAGATCGGCTCGCTGGGGTCTGTGCCCCAGGCCACTGCTCACATTTTGGGCAAAGATACTGAAGAAGAGGCGTTTGGCTCCTTTTCCTGCATGAGACCCTGGGGTGCTGGGAGGGGAAGAGCCACCGCCCCCCCCCCGGATGTTCAGCTCACCCCCGGAGGGAGGGGCGACTGTCAGCTCCGATGGGCCCTGGCGAGGTGCAGCCGCGTGTCAGATAAGCCCGTGTCTTCCAGAGCTGCTCAGGGTCCTCTGACACCGCCCAGGAGCTCCCACCCCCCAGACACCCCAATTCCTCAGACCGCAGAGCCACAAAGAGCGAAACGAGGCCGCTATGGCGGTGCCTGCCTCTGGGAACATGATTCCAACAGGAGCCATTATTCAGAAGTGGCAATCTTCTTAGTCACGGAAATTACACTCGTGGAAAATTGTCCCTGGGGCCCTTTCTCCTGCGGTGGGGGATTTAGTGGGGGGATGTGGAACCAGCCACGGGCCCCCACCAGGGCTCTCTGACCTGGAGCCCCCCCACCAGGAAAGGGCTGCCCACCTACTGATGAGGTCCAGGGAACAGAGCGTGTACTGTCCCGCCCGGCCCACCCCACACACTGGCCCAGGGATCCTGGGGGACTCACATCACCTCTCGGAGCCCCTGGCAGATGGAAAGTTCCTGAGCACATGAAATAAACTCAGATGTGCAAGACGCTGTGTGCAGGGCCTGGCACACAGTGGGTGCTAAATAACTGCTCCCTCTCGCCTGCTCCAAACAGCACAGCATCTCCTCCCCAGTGTCCCCAGGCCCCAAGGGGAAGGCGGCTGGAGGCTTCCCGGGGACGTGGGGATGGGGACAGGCCCTCAGTGCCCACCGCTCCCCAGCCCCTCCCAGGCCGGCCCCACATGAGGTCGTGAGGTTGGCGAGAGAGGGCAGGCCTCCTCCACCCCGGGCAGCAGCAGCCCGGAGCCGCCCAGTGCTCTTGGGGTGTGTGCCTCGCGGGAGCTGCCCCAGCAGTGCAGGGCACCGCAGCCAGGCCTGCCTCCCTGGGGCGTCCCCCAAACACGCTCCCTCCGACCTAAGGCAGCTCTGGTCAGACTGGTGTCCTTTCCCTGAAGGGGAGCCTGAGGTGGGTGGGGGCTGGCCTGGCGCCACAGGGTCCCAGCGCTGTTTCCAAGGCCGGTTCCGCCCCCAGCACACTTTCCGGGAAATCTGGGTCATTTTACCCAGAACCAATGGAGGGTCATTGTCGTTGATGCTGTCAACCACCTTCTGCCTGCTCCACGGACCTCCCGGGGCGACCTCCCCCCAGGAACCCGCCTCCTCAGCGGGGGAGGGGGTGCAGGCAGAACTGGGACTCCCGCCGGCCCTCCCCTTACTCAGGACCCCAGGTCCCCTGCAGGCAGGGGCGGTGGGCCAGGCAGGGGCCAGGCGAGGAGGCGCCTGGACCCCGGGTGAGCCCTCAGGGCCGGTGTCCCTTCTGGGGGAGCTCGGCTGGCCAAGCCCCGGGGATGCGGCCACGGGCTTCCCCGGACCCCGAGAAGTTGGGCGGCTCTTCCTGCGCCTCCACAGCTCACTGCCAGACCCCACCTCTACCGCCTAAGCCCCCCCATCCACACCTGCGCTCGCACCTGCTGCCCAGCCGCTCCCCTCCCTCCGCCTTGGCTCCCCCCCCCCCCCCCCCCCCCCCCGTCTCCAAAGGGGCCTCCCCAGCGCCGCCGGCCCTCCACCAGCCTGCGGGCGAGCCCGGCTGCGGGACGCGGGGCGCAGCGTCTCCCCAGGGCCTCTGCCCTGACCCGGCACACTGGGTCCAGAGGCCGGAGGGTGGCGAGGGCGGAGACCGGGGAGCGGACGGAAGGGCGGGGAGGCGCCCGGGGCGGCGAGGGAGCCCCGCAGGAGCCCCGGCAAAGCCTGGGGGATAGAGTCCGGCGCAGGCTGGGGGCGCGCGGCAGGACCCGGGCCAGGGCGCGCGGGGCTTCTCGCAGGTAGTGAGACCCCCCCAAAGCACTACAGGGCCCCGCGCGGACCGGGCGAAGGGCGGGGTAGGGGCACGGAGCCGGGCACTCACCGGGCGGCGGGGAGCGGGTGCCCGCGCGGCGCTCTCTCCGGGCTCCGCGCTCGGGGCGGGGGGCGGGCGGGGCGGGGGGCGGGGCGGCCGGGGGGCGGGGCGGCACCGGCTCCACCCCCAACCCTCCCCCCCCCCGGCCCCCCCGCAAGCAGTCCGGGCCTGACCCCGTCGGCCCCAGAACGACCCCCCCTCATTCTCTACCGTCGGCTCCTGGGGGTCCTGCGCCTCCCCCCGCAGCGCCCCTCAAAGTCTAAGGATGGGAAGCGGTCGCTGCCCTCAGAGGCTGGAGGCCGGTGGGCGGGGGTCTCCGCTCACTCGGGCGCCTCTCCCTCCCCTTGGCGGGGATGGCGGCCACCTGATCAGAACACAGACGCCCCATCCCGGCCCTGGACGCCATGTGCTGGAGCCGTGACCCTGGATAGGGAGGTGCCCTTCCCTCCCTCCTCCTCCTTTGGAGAGAGAAGCCACGACCGAGGAAGAGTCCTCAGCAGGCTCCACGCCCAGCAGAGCCCCCGTGGGGCCGGACCTCAGGACCGGGAGACCGTGGCCTGGGCCAAAATCGAGTTGGACATTTAAGCGACTCAGCCGCCCGGGCGCCCCAAGGCCCTTTTCGTCTTTATGCTCTTCTGCGCTGTTTCATTCGGTGCAGGAAGCCTGGCTTATGTTTCTAACCGAGAAAAAGCACTTCCAGACCCAGGGCGCCGAGCTCGGGGCAAGTGCCGTCTGTGCAGGCTGTGCTGGGCAGGGGGGGGCTGCTCTCTGGGGCAC